CCATCATCTGCCTTCTCTGAGGGCTCTCCAAATGTCCCCCAGAATCACCCAAGGCTTCTATGCAGAAACCTTCCACCCGAAACTGCGAAGAGCAGGTGGCCCAGAGCCCCTGAGGAGGGGCGCCCTGGGAAGGAGCTCACCCCGCCCCTCTTCCCACCTAGAACAGTGAGCCAATGGACACCCTTGTCAAGCATCTCTTAGCCTCCCTGAGGCAACGGCATTTCAGGGTGGTGGCCTGGCTCTTCCTCCTGTCTCGTATCTACTCCTCAGGGGCTCAACCGCTCTCCCTCCAACAGACGTCTAGCTCTGGGCATTGTGACTCCCGCACATTCTCGAAAGTAAAGCCCTTTCCTCTGTGTATGCTGGCATCTGACTTGTCTCTCTGCCAGCACAGGGTCACCGAAGGCAGCTCCCATGTTACGGGAGCTGTCCCACAGTCAGAAACCCCGACGGTCGGCAGGGCCACATGGCCGTGGACAGCCTCCTCTGCACACGAGGACACTAACACAAAGCAGTGAGGTCTTACTATGGTGAATGAGCGACAACCAAAACCCAGCAGAAGCAAAGTTGTCCCATGCGCTATTTTCTTTTAAAGTCCCTGTGAAACAAAAGCATTAATTCTGCTAATATGTCCAGGTACACGGGACACAGGAGCAAACGCCCTGACGTAAGGCAGAGGTCAGCAAACTCTGTCCTGTAAAGGACCAGAAAGCAAATATTTTAGGTTTCTGAGGACCAACAGGCAAACTGAGGATACGATTTCAGTACATAATGAGTCGAAATTTCCCACTTTCATTGATTCAAAATATTATGGTAATAACGGTTGAGCACAACTTTTTGTAAAACAGGTCTACTAAGAATGGAACGCTTCTGAGGGGGTGGCATTCCGCTCAGCTGGGATTTGGTTAGTGGTCCCCCATCCAAATCACCGGCAAAGGTTCACACGCTAGCGCTGCTTTTAATGAGAGTTTATGTATTTCATGTTAGGATGTGTCTTTTCACCCAGGCAGGTACTGTCACGTACTGGTATCAAGTCGCAGACGTGCCATTTCAATTAGCAAACTCGCGGTTTAAAGGGGCATTTGAGTAATCTACTCTTCTCGATGCTGTCTTTTCCATGTCATTACGTCACAGATGAGTCGCTTCCACCTTGGAGGTTAGGCCGAAGAGGCTCAACTGCACAGTTAAATGTACTCTGTAATATGCATTTGCATCAAAGTCCGAAAAATGCTGCTGAAACAGTAGTTTGCGCCCAGAAAACACATCTACTGCAAATCTGGGGCTGGAAGAGGTGGGGTTAGGGGGCAGGAGGGATCTCTCTTCTTTGCTCTGACTTTTGACGGCATGGAAAACTACATAAAACAGCTTAGTAATCACTTGTGACTGGCATCGCAACAACTTTTAGATTTGTATATACGTAGTGTTTTGTCTCATAATTTTAGGTTCGATTCCTTAAAAAAAAAAAACCATCAGCAAGTCTGCATTGAAAAAAAACTGATTTCCAAAGCCATTCGGTGTTCAATAATGGTGGTTGAGAGCAGTTTCTCTTATTCAGAAAAATTGCAAATCAGCCCTAAGCTCAAAAGATTGCAGAATAACTTTGCCGCTCGTGGCTTAGCCGCTGACATGTCACATGCTGGAGCAGCTCGGGACGTTCAGCTTCTGTTTCTGACAAAAATTCACAGAACTGACAACAGCTAAGTCCACAAGACCAACACTCAAGTCCTGAGACCCCACTGCTTTCATACCGTATGACAGATTCAACTATTCTTGCGAAATACCTGTTAATAGATAAAACAATGAATAAACATAGACTTTAACCATTTTACATTTTCACAATT